CACTCACTTGGCAGGACCGTAGTTACCTCCCTAGGCTCGATTGCTGTTCTACCAACCTACTATGTAGAATTTTTATAGCAGGGAAGGCAGAGACCTGAACTGGCAGATTAGAGGACTGCAAGTGTTAATGACTTATGGAGTCAAGGGTGCTTTGTAGATGAACTTTAAATATTCAGGCATCGTGGTTTTTTCCGTTTAAAACCATGTTCAAATAAACTTTGTCATCCCTCGAAGGAGCCCAAGACCCATCGCAAGAGACGCCGCCTTCTCCCCCCGCTGTTAACAATGAAGGACCAAGACACCCCCACTCTTCACAAGGTAGGCAACGAACCTGTTTCAGGCGGTTATTCACACAAGTTTTAAATAGCTATTTTTTTTTTTTAATTATGTAACCTTTCTCCTAAATATTAGAGGTTCCATAAATAGGCTTTCAAAGGTTAAAGAAAGATTGCAAAAAAAAAAAATACAAAAAACCTTATTTTAATTTGGGGATCAATCTATTTGCCTGGATCAACAAAATATCTGACCAATGGCCTTTTATATATACACTTTGCTACAAACATTTCAACACTTACACTTATCAAGTTTTATTCATTACATGCAACATATTCACACTTATGATATGAAGATGAAAATATGAATTGATATGCTTTAAAAAAAAGTTTAGAATGATTGTCTTAATTCTTGGAATTAGCTACACAAAACAATTACAATGGTCATCTTTTTCAATACGTACTAGCATTTGTCCGTTACATTTAAACAGCAAGCCCAATTACTTAATAAATGCATATACTGTTTACTGTTGCTCACATAATACCAATGAATCCATGGGATGGTATTATAAAGGTACGCCACTAGTGCAATTTACATCATTGCACCTATTCCTCCCATACCACCCAGACCGCCCATACCACCCAATTCCTCCATTCCACCAGATGGCTCCATCTTAAGGGATTTCTGTTATAAACTCACTTCTGCTGTGGTGAGAAGTTGATGCCACACCAGCAGCTTCCGTCAGTGTGATCGCACACCTGTGAGCATTGATAAAAACAAGGTGAAATAACACAAAAATGCTTAATTAAATTATCAGGGAAACAATATCAAACTGCAGTAAATTGATAACTTATAATTTTAAGTGTAAAGTACATATAATTTCTAGATTGCTTTGGGTGATTTATCAAAGTTGATTTTTAAATTATGGTGTCACAGACTATTCTCTTATTTTCACTTCCCCCCTGCAGTTCAGGCTTGGACTGAACATGATCCATCCAAAAAAATTTAAATTGTCTTTTTAACCTTCCTTGCTCATTTCAATTTTACTTGGCATTAGGTTTTTTTTTTTTGTTAAGTTATGCAGAAAAAGGACATCAAATGTGTGTTTACAAACACCACAGTACAGTATGATGAATTATTTGACAATAGGTGTAGAAAAAAGCTACAGCTAGATTTACACTACAGCAAATTGTTTTAAATTATAATTCCAGACATTTGTAGGAAAAATTTGCATTTTGCAAATAATTTGAAGAAATAAATCCACATGTTAGGGTACTGTACATATCCCAAAACAAACTAATATGAAAAATACAGGAACATTGTTATAAACATTAAATAACCACATATCCACCATATTATGTCTTACTTGGTAGGATCAATGATCCCTGTTTCGATGTGATTAACAAAAAGTCCCAGCTGCTGCATCATAACAAGTATCGCCAGGAAGCTTCATTACTTTGTTGACAATTACCGCTGCATCTACACCAGGCATTTTGGCAATGGTAAGGCAAGTGTCTGTATAGCTTTACGAAATGATCTCTATGCATTTCCTGGTCTTATTTGGCAGGGGCAAGTTGGTCAATGCTGTATTGCAAGTACCGAGCAAACACCACCTCCTAGGAAACAATACCCTCTGCAATAGCAGCTCTAGGTGCACAGAGGGCTTCATAGAACACGGTCTTTCTTCTAATTGATTCCCACCTCGATGATCCTCCAACCTTAATTACGGCAAACCTTAGAAAGTCTGGCCATTCTTTTCTTGCATTTTCTCCTTTTCATATACTGAGCTGCTCTCTTCTATCTGATTCTTTATTTGTGTAACAACGTCTTCAATATCAGACAGTTTTGCCTTTTTCCTTCAAAAGTAATGTATGTCCTTCGTGTGATCTGTACTTCTCCAACCAGGCCCAGATCATGCAAACTGTAAAAGATGAAACAAGTTGAGTAACGGTGAAAGTTTTTTTTTTTGGCAGTCATTACTGCTGACTTGAAAAAATAATGATCAGTTAATGCTATTAGATTAATTATTGTAAAAGAGCATACAGATAAATGAAAGTATGTTGAATAAACTAGACACGAAGGGCTCAAATCAAACTTCAGGCCCCTTCACAGGTCATATTTAGGGCCTTTGGCATAATAAGAAACAAACCACCCCCCCCCTTTTTGGGAGGGGGGGGGGAACAGGCCATGTACCTTAAATTTAAATTACTATCAATTTTTAGGATTTATTTAATCCAAAAAGAAGCACTAAGCCACAAGGCTATACAGCCCAATTTTTAGGAATAACCTGCAAGACGTTTTTCTGCAAAAACATTCTGTTTCACTGGATGTTAACACACTTAATGTTTCCAGATCAGTACTATAGGTTTGAGCTCTGGGTCTGTGCTGTAGACTCTGTGATGAAGCAGAAGCGGTATATTTTTAGGACTGGTGTAAATTTTGGTGTCTAGATAATGAGAGAATGGTCTATGCCGAGTGTGAACCATATAAAAAAAAAAAATCCTGCCCCATTAGTACACAATGAAGAAGAGGGCGATTGTGAATTTGGTTTAACTCAAAACTGTCAAAACATATTTCTACAATTGTACTGCTACAATGCAAACAGATAGTTTTTGTTTTCATGCCTTCATATTTGGCACGATTGGCCGGAGAGAGATGCCTGGTCAGGTATAGAATGCTTAACACGCCGTGTGGCAGGAGTATTAAAAAAAAAAATCTGGGACCGCTTAGTACCTTGTGGGAGCAACAGTTCAATTGAGCACTCAGCTAGAGTAATATAGTGTGGCAAACACCAGGGATTTCACCGTTGCCATGTTGTATTAACACACCCCTTCAAAAGGAAAAGGGATGTTGACCCTGAGTTTAGTGGCTTTGAGATGGATTGTGGGGCCACAAGTAGTTGAGGAAATATAATGGCTGACTGTCTGTCTCACAGGTAACATTAGTTTCATACAGCATGTAAATTAACTAGGATAAACCAGAAAAAATGCGTGCTATACTGTGATTGTAGTTATAAGGCATAATAAGCATGACGGAAGCAATACACATTATACTTTTATCAGGAATCAGACATGCGACTGCATCGCGGTTTTGCAATACCTATTGGTTCATTGAGCAGCTGAGAGAAAGCACGCAGACAGACATGTTTATGTTTAACAGCAAAAACAAAGCCCAAGGTTGAATGAAGCAGTGACAAGATTCAAGTCATTCCACTGCACACTGCCAAGGGTGTTAACTGAATCATCTACTGTAATAACATGGAGACGAATTACATTGTGTTTTCTGTATTCTTCCAAGTACAGAAATTTCTAAAAGAATGACAGCACAAACATATCAAAGATGGTTTCCCATTACTGATGAGTGATCCCCTTGACAAAAAGACAACCACCTTCCTGAAATCTCATCCATGGTAAACTTTGTCAAGTCTACATATTCATTTTTTAAAAGAGTATAACCATTCTCGCCTATTTTTCAATCCTCACTCAATGAACAAAGGATGTTTTAAAAAAAAAAAAAGAGTCAAAGCCTATCATAATGCACCTCTGATTCATATAAGTGATGGGTAACCAGCCCATAAGTGATTTTCTTAATTTTCATCTGTCTCAAAAGGTTTTACCATGACAGTCTTCATTCTGCATTACTTTTGCGGAATGTCGATAGTAACCAGATTAGTAAATACAATACATTAAGAGAACTCAAATTTTAAAATACCTTGTCATGCAGCCTTATTTTTGTATTTATAGTTTCACAGGACCTAGGAACAACCCCACACGCCTCCCTACATTAATCTGTAGAGATGACAGTACAGGACCAATTTTAGTGTTTCCTTTACTAATTAACAAGTCCTATAATGTTACTTGCACAAATTGCAAATTAAGTATATGCTAGGTACCATTTTGTTCATAATAGGCTTCCTAATACTCGCAGTCTTCAAATCTGGAAGGGCCATCAAAAACCCCAGGTATTTTTTATTAACTACCCTTTGCATGTATTTAGCAAAAACTTTCCATCTGAAGCTAAATTTGATTTAGTATATGTTTAAGTTGATATAGTTCCCTTTGACTGTTAAAACTTAAATCTCAAAACTTTATAATTAAAGTTTCAAAATTTTTGCATAAAAATTTCCTCTGCCAGCTACCAGTTCCATTGTGGTATTTGGTTGTTAACAGTATAGTATGCTTATCAAACTAAATAAATTTCCTGAGAAAACAAAAATCAGGAATTCATCACTATGCCTATAAATTTTATCAGTGGAAAGTTAGAAATAACACTTTCCAACTAATTTACTGAAACTAGAAGACAATTTAGGTAAAACTCACTTGAACGTCTTCAATCTTCACCATACTGGCATCGTCATTAAAAACTATACCCCCAGTAGATACTAGCAATATTTGTAGTGTCTTTTTTCGGTTGTCTCCAAAGCCAGGAGCCTTGACAGCATGCTATCTGCAGGCCAATCTTCAGGCGATTTAACAAACAAGAGTGCCTCAAAGCCTCTCCATCAACATCTTCAGCGATGATCACCAAAGGTTTCCTAAAATACAATACTGTATCAACAATTTTGTGCAAAATAAAGTTAATGTTCTACTTATTACAGTCTAAAACAGGTTTCAAATGATAATGTATTTACTCTTGTGCATTGGCAGTTCCAGTACTGGGATTATTGATTGGATTGATGAAATTTTCTTTCTCTGAGAGAAAGCTATTAATGCATCCTGAAATTCCACCTTAGGCTCCCTTGTGGTGTTGATAAATTAGGAGATGTGAAATGTAACCACGATCAAATTTCATGCCCTCAATAACCTGATGGATTAAACAAATTTCAGAATGAAAAACAAAAATTTATAAAAAAGGGTCACAATAACAGAATTAATATAGCCATTTCAAGCACTGCATCTATGCATGTGAATCCAATATCTCACTTAAGCACAAATATATATTTTTATTCATGCAATTTTAATGGTGGAGAATTTTTATAGGACTGGGATTAGCCAGAATTATAATATTTCAATTTGTCCTTCACGCGGATTAATAAGTACTTATTTCATAACTGAACACATTCCTAATTCATTGCTCCAAGTAGAGCCTGTTACAAAAAAATTCACCATGGAGGAAGTTAATGGCCCATGCCTATTTGAGGCATTACAGCTCACTAGGAGAGGGATTTTTCTATTCTTTATACAGCAATCCTGCTAATAAAAATACTTATTTCTATTCCCACCACCACATTAAAAACTATAATGAAGTGTTAATAGGGGAGGGGGGGGAGGGGGAAGGGACAGAAAACTTCTGCAGGCATGTTTTTTTTTTTTTATACACAGGGTTTGACAAGGGTTAAGGATTCCTAGCTTTATTGACAAGCTATTTACAGGTTAAGGATTCTAACTTGATTGGAAGCTAAGAGCTGTTACCCTACATCAGCTCATTTGATGAAGCATTTTTATTGTTATGAGACATACAATGTGGGAAACAGGATGAAGCTGGAGCCATCTATGGGCCAGGAATTTTCATTTGATCAAAACTGACTATCTCGTTGACATCATTATGTTGTACAAATGTGTTTTCCTTATGAGTCATCTGGGTATAATGATCTTAATGAAGTGATGTTATGGAGAAGGTACAGCCAGAGCGTGAAGTTGTGCTGCTTTTCTGCCTATCTTGTGGCAATAAAAGCTTCTTTTCACGCTGTCTCGATGTGGATCAAGTGTGCTCTCTTTGACAATATTGGCCTTGTAAACATAACAGAAGGGCCACCCACATCCCCTGAGTTTTGAAGGCTCTGCTGAAATGACATATCTATCCAGTGGGTCCAGGCGAGAGATGAGATGTCTTACAAATCTTCAGTTGCAAAAGAAGGATGAATGTAATAAACCCGTCTACTTTCAACTCCCTTGCCATATGACCTTTCAATGCAATCAAAGTAAACGTGGCACACCTCAAACACTAGGGCCCACAAATGCGATATAGTATAGTAGGGCCCCTTTTTACAGCATTTTGCTAATACTGACATTTAGAATTTTGACCAAAACTCGCCCTACGGCTCTCCCCACCTCACTTCGTAATATAGTCACTGTGCCTCACCTGGTTTGTTTACATTCTCCGTGAGCACCATGTCTCTCCATTATGTTTGGAAACTTTCCAAACCTTCAAGTAATTTAAAGTTATTTCACGTTTCATATTTTTTTTTTTCAACACATCGGTCGTCTCCCACCGAGGCAGGGTGACCCAAAAAAGAAAATACTTTCATCATCATTCAACACTTTCACCAGACTCATACATAATCACTGTCTTTGCAGAAGCACTCAGATACTTTGATAATTATACTTGTGTACCTGTACCTAAATAAACTTACTGTGCAGGCATACAGGTACACAATAAAATCACTAAGACTGTCTTGAAGATGCCATATTAATAATGATAATATGCAATAATAATCACTGAAGCGCATTAAATTTTGTATATTATGTTAATATAAACATTTCCAATAATCCACCTATATATTTTTTTAAATTATATAATAAACATGCTACATAATATAAACATGTTAAATACACCCACAGTAGAATAAATTAACAAATACGAGATGTTACATGTAGATGAATGTGTATCAACCAAAACCAGATGCGTTCGTCTGCTTACATCCCTGCGTCTCTCGCCTCTCTTATTCACCTCTCACCCTACATTAAGACTACAAATATTTTAAGGTAAGTAATGAGTGTACTGTATAGGCATTTTATTGTAGGGTGCTTTAAATGTCCTAGTATATTACGTGTAGGTGGGGGTGGCCTGGCTGGCTACCATACCTGACTTACTACAAATATATGACTCGCCTCACCCTACATTAAGACTACAAATATTTTAAGGCAAGTAATGAGTGTACTGTTTGTATTTTACTTTGTTTTTGATGCCTAGTTTTACTGCTAGCTTAATACATGTTCGTGTATTTATATGCATTTGTGGAAAAAATGGCATTCTGCTTTCCAGTGGTAGCCTGGAACTTAACCTGCCATATAAGTAGGGCACTACTGTACATAGCTACCAGCACCACAGCCCTCAATACTACACAAATTAAACATTAACAGGTCAATGTTAATAATGTCAAAGTCCCTTGAATCATAGAACTACATCTAAAGCTCAGCTCCCTGTCAGTGCAGTAAATGTGTGCAGCATAATAATCCAAATGCATGATGGAAAAAGCAAAACTCCGACCTTGTGTTTGGTGTATAAAAGGGAGGCGTTTTGGTTCCAGGAATGGAGTAGCTTTAAATCGTCCTCAAAGTAGCAGAAATGAGTATTGTTTTGTCTATTTTCGTGAGCACAGGCAATGCCTCTTTACACACCTTGGATAGATAAGAATTTAGTCAAATGAAGCAACATAACTGGCTTAAAAATAGTACTAAATTTGGGCAAAATTGTCAATGTGTAAACTATTCTAAAACCAATAACTCTGCATCTGCAAGTTTTCCATCAAACTTCATACTTTGTGTCAATGTCTCTAGAAAAAAATTATCTTCTAGAATTCTTTTTCTAAGGGGAGGGGAAGGGGAAAGCCATATTAATTTTGAGAGGTCTGGACATTGAAAGGGTAATTTTAACCTACTACCTAGAGAATAAAGAACAGCAAAAAAATACTATACAATATTAGCTTACTACAGCACTCAATTTATAACATTACCTCAAGCTCATCCTTCAGAGTCTTGCCATCCTTCACTGTAATTACACCATTGCGTCCAACCTGTAAATAATAGCTAGGTCAATATCATCATGTAAAGAAATCAAGCCTCAGCCTACCTCACCTGACTGTCACTACATTCATATATGCCCATCTCTCCACAGCTAAGTACCTTGACAAAGCCCACTGTGTGAGTGAAAGATTGATGATAAAGGACTGCATATCACACATGTCCTTAGCCATTTTGTCAGTATATCATAATAATTTTATCCATTGTAATATTAGAATCATTACAGAAATATCTTAAAGTAAAAAAAATTACATGGACCAGAGCAAGTACCTCGGATGGTCCCTTGCATTTATGCAGTTTGTATATACTAAAATACAATCAAGATACATTTTACAATTAAAAATAAATATAAGCACTTTGTGCTCAGCAGTGCAGCTTGTGTATCACCTTATCCTCTTGCCACTTCTGGTCCACACGAGAGCTTTCATATTTCAAGCCTTACGCCTAAGTGATTAAAGTAACTGATTTCAATGCAGTAATTCATAAAGTATTAATGCACGTGTCTTCAAAATTAAAATAAATCAAATATCTTATACAAGCTGAGGCAACCATAACCATGCAAAAGATATTTACATAATCTAATGCTAAAAAAAGAATGCATGACCTAAGCATAGCATACAAGTTCTTTATCCCCTCCATTCCACTTAACTATAGCTATTGCCAACCCAGCAATTTCCTGTACAAAAACAAATAGACACTAGGCTTGCAGGCTCATGTTAAACAGATTCAACATACATCAAACCAAAAATCTACCCAAAATATTTACTTCACAGTATAATTATGGAAGTCATAGGTGTGTGTGGAACAGAATTCTTCCTCTATAAGCTATGCGTGTTGTAAGAGGCGACTAACATGCCATGAGCATGGGGCTCATTACTCCTCCTCTGTACACATTACTAAAGTTAAGCAAATACATGGGTGGGCAAGAGTAGGATGTGCCTAGAATGGATCAGTAGACCTACACGAAGACCCAGGTTTAAGGCACTTTGCTAATTTTACCCAAAAATTAGTTTATACAACTGATTCACTATCGCGGCCTGCACTCCCACCGAGCATCTGCGTGCTATTTTCATTCTCTCAGTGTGTTTTCATTATCCATGAGCTCTGCATCTCTCAATTGTGTGTGGAAACTTTCCAAAGTTTCACATGTTTTAAAGTTACTGCATATTTTATATATATACTGTTACAATGGCATCTAAGGGTTGTGATAAAAAGAAGTCATAAAGTTCTTACTTTTAAGTGCAAAATTAGAAATGATTAAACTCAGTGAATAAAGTATGTCTATGGCCAAGATAATACTGATAACTGTACTTGGGGGTAACTGAAGAAAAACACTTTTGTATGCTGTCACTTAAATGGCATCACTCACTCAAAAGGGTGTTGCATAAACCTGGGTGTGTTGCTGTTATACAGGCTACTGTATTATCCATTTGAGTGTTGAGACCCCTGAATCCCTTGCTGGAAGTCCACAAAACCTCCTTTACCGCCTCCCTCCAACCTTTTCGAGGACGACCCTTATCCCACCTTCCTTCCCCTACAGATTTATATGCTCTCCATGTAATTCTACTTTGATCCATTTTCTCTAAATGACCAAACCACCTCAACAACCCCTCTTCAGCCCTCTGACTAATACTTTTATTAACTCCACACCTTCTCCTAATTTCCACACTCTGAATTTTCTGCATAATATTTACACCACACATTGCCCTTAAACAGGACTTCTCCAACCGCCTCCTCGCTGATGCATTTACAACCCAAGCTTCACACCCATATAAGAGTGTTGGTACTACGATACTTTCTTTGCCTCCATAGATAACATTCTTTGCCTCCACATATACCTCAAGGCACCACTAACCTTTTTTCCTTCAATTCTATGATTAACCCCATCCTTCATAAATCCATCTGCTGACATGTCGACTCCCAAATATCTGAAAACATTCACTTCTTCCATACTCCTCCTCCCCAATTTGATATCCAATTTTTATCTAAATCATTTGATACCTCATCACCTTACTCTTTTCTATGTTCACTTTCAACATTCTACCTTTACACACACTCCAAAATTGGTCCACTAAGCTTTGCAATTCCCCACAATTTAATCCTACCCCTCTCCTGAACACCTTAGCATTTACTTCTTTTACAACCCCATCTATAAATATATTAAACAACTATGATGACATTACATATCCCTGTCCAAGATCTACTTTTACCAGGATGTAGTCTCCCTCTCTTCTACACACCCAAACCTGAGCCTCACTATCCTCATAAAAACTCTTAACAGCATTTAGTAACTTACCACCTATTCCATATACAGTGGACCCTCAACCAGCGATGGCATCGATTAACGATAAATCTGACTAGCGATTCATTTAAACGCAAAAATTTTGCCTCGACTAGCGCTTAAAAACCCGACCAGCGCTTTTCGTTCCATACCATAAGCGTCCACTTTGGCCTGAGCGCGCCTCACTTGTCCCTTTGGTGCCAGTGTTTACAAGCCAGCCAGCCACCGCGGTCGCTTCCAAACATACAACTGGAACATTTCATATTATCACAGCCTTTTTAGTGATTGCACCTGCAAAATAAGTCACCATGGGCCCCAAGAAAGCTTCTAGTGCCAACCCTACAGCAAAAAGGGTGAGAATTACTATGGAGATGAAGAAAGAGATCATTGATAAATATGAAAGTGGAGTGCGTATCTCTGAGCTGGTCAGGTTGTATAATAAACCCCAATCAACCATCGCTACTATTGTGGGCAAGAAAACAGCAATCAAGGAAGCTGTTCTTGCCAAAGGTGCAACTATGTTTTCGAAACTGAGATCGCAAGTACTCGAAGATGTTGAGAGACTGTTATTGGTGTGGATAAACGAGAAACAGATAGCAGGAGACAGCATCTCTCAAGCGATCATATGTGAAAAGGCTAGGAAGTTGCATGACGATTTAATTATAAAAATGCCAGCAACTAGTGATGTAAGTGAATTTAAGGTCAGCAAAGGTTGGTTTGAGAGATTTAAGAAGCATAGTGGCATTCATAGTGTGATAAGGCATGGTGAGGCTGCCAGTTCGGACAACAAAGCGGCTGAAAAGTATGTGCAGGACTTCAAGGAGTACATAGACAGTGAAGGACTGAAACCTGAACAAGTGTTTAATTGTGACGAAACAGGCCTGTTTTGGAAGAAAATGCCAAGCAGGACGTACATTACTCAGGAGGAAAAGGCACTCCCAGGACATAAGCCTATGAAAGACAGGCTTACTTTGTTGATGTGTGCCAATGCAAGTGGTGATTGCAAAGTGAAGCCTTTATTGGTGTATCACTCTGAAACCCCCAGAGTGTTCAGGAAAAACAATGTCCTCAAGGCTAATTTGTGTGTGCTGTGGAGGGCAAACAGTAAGGCATGGGTCCCTAGGGACTTTTTCTATGACTGGTTACACCATGCATTTGCCCCCGATGTGAAAAATTACCCAATTGAAAAGAAATTAGATCTTAAGTGCCTCCTGGTATTAGACAATGCCCCTGGTCATCCTACAGATGTGGCAGAGCGACTTTCTAGGGACATGAGCTTCATTAAGGTGAAGTTTTTGCCTCCTAATACCACTCCTCTCCTGCAGCCCATGGACCAGCAGGTTATTTCCAACTTCAAGAAACTGTACACAAAAGCTATGTTTGAAAGGTGCTTTGTAGTGACCGCAGAAACTCAACTGACTAAGAGAGTTTTGGAAAGATCATTTTACAATCCTCAATTGTGTAAACATTATAGGTAAGGCTTGGGAGGAAGTGACTAAGAGGACATTGAACTCTGCTTGGAAAAAACTGTGGCCAGAATGTGTAGACAAAAGGGATTTTGAAGGGTTTGAGGCTAACCCTGAGAATCCTATGCCAGTTGAGGAATCCATTGTGGCATTGGGGAAGTCCTTGGGGTTGGAGGTTAGTGGGGAGGATGTGGAAGAGTTGATGGTGGAGGACAATGAAGAACTAACCACTGATGAGCTGCTAGATCATCTTGAACAGCAAGAGGGCAGACCTGAGGAAACGGCTTCGGAGGAGGGGAGAGAAATTGAAGAAGTTGCCTACTTCTAAGATTAAGGAAATCTGTGCAATGTGGCTTAAAGTGCAAAGCTTTATGGATGATAATCACCCTGACACAGCTACTGCAAGCCGTGTTGGCAACCTGTACACTGACAATGTTGTGAACCACTTTAGGAAAGTCATAAAGGAACGAGAGGTACAGGCCTCTATGGACAGATATGTTGTGCGACAGAAGTCCAGTGACTCTCAAGCTGGTCCTAGTGGCATTAAAAGAACAAGGGAAGTAACCCCAGAAAAAGACTTGCTGCCTCAAGTGCTAATGGAAGGGGATTCCCCTTCTAAACACTAAGAAGATAACGCTCTCCCCCTCCTCCCATCCCATCAATCACCACCAGATCTTCAATAAAGATAAGTGTCACATAACTGTGCATGTAATCTTCAGTTTGTGTGTATTAAAATTAATATTTCATGTGGTAAAATTTTTTATTCAATACTTTTGGGTGTCTTGCACGGATTAATTTGATTTCCATTATTTCTTATGGGGAAAATTAACTTGACTAACGATTATTTTGGACTAACGATGAGCTCTCAGGAACGGATTAATATCGCTGGTTGAGCGTCCACTGTACTTGCAACATCTTCCACACTGCTCCCCTATCCACTATCATATGCCTTTTCTAAATCCAGAAATGTAATAAAAACATTCCTACCTTTATCTAAATACTGTTCACATACATGCTTCAATGTAAACACTTGATCTACACATCCCCTACCCACTCTAAAACCTCCTTGCTCATCCGCAATTCTACATTCTGTCTTGCCACTAATTCTTCCAATAATAACCCTACCATACACTTTTCCTGGTATACTCAGTAAACTTATTCCTCTACAATTTTTACAATCTTTTGTCCCCCTTCCCTTTATATAAAGGGACTATATACATGCTCTCTGCCAATCCCTTAGTACCTT